CCCTGCCTGCCCACATTAATTGCCATGATTTGCAGCCCCAGGTCATTAGTGAAAGGAGGCTGTGCTGGGAGAACAATGTGGATAGGGGTTTGGAAATAGCCATGCCTCTTCTTTCTCACAGACAGGGCTGCAATCATGTGAAAATCAATCAGAACATGAGAAAAAAGCAAAGGATCTTTTGATCCAGTAGCATCAAAAATGGGGGCAAGTGCTGGGAGAACATCTCCTGAGCCCTCAGAGCAGCCTCTGAAGGGGAGAGTGGGGCACTTCACTCCTGAGAGCAATTTTGCCTTATGGACTCACACACGTCACAAAACCATTATTTTGCTGCCCGTGAAAGAATCAGAGCAGGTGTGGGAAGCCATAAAACGCCTTTATTTGGAGAAACACAAAGTGGTTTATCTGCAGGTACAACAGGAGGAGCAACCTGTGGCTCTCAGGATGTATTTGTACACAGAAATGAGAGCTGGGATTGGCAGCTGGGCATTGAAAACAGAAAACTGATGCTGGGAGCTGCCAGACGCAGCCCAAACCCAGGAATGACATCCAGAGGGTGCAAGTGGATCCACATCCCATCACTCTGGGATGGTGGGGTTTGAGCAAAGGTTAAAATGCCAAGGGCTTTGATTTCATTTTTGTAAAATAGAGCTGGTGCTTTTTATTAGGAGTTGTGGGGGTAAAATGTAGTTATGGCGCTTTCAGCTGGGGGTGAGGAGGGTTGTTGGTTTGATTTTTTTTTAAGACTTTTTAAAATTTTTTGATGTTTATATTCTTGTAACGAACTTTCTCACTTTCTGTAAATAACTCATTGCTCTGCATTCTTTTATAGAGGAAGAAAAATTTGATAGACTGTTGGTTTGTTCAGTGTCATTGGAGAGGCGGCACTGTCACCCTCCAATCCACTGCCACTTTTAGAAAACTATAAATGTTAGAGTCAGAAAATAAATTTTTCTTTTTCCTTCACCTTGAGAGCAGCAGTGTGTGCTTGTGTTGTTTTGTGTCCTATAGTGACAGAGGGTGGTTCAGGATGCAACAGCAGGGCCATCCCTGGGAGATAAGTTAGATATTTTTTTGTTCCAAATTTGAATTTACTTCTCAAGATGTAATTTACCTCTTCAAGACCATGGGATTTATGCAAAAGATACAAGCTCTATGGAAGCCCATCCAGAAACATCCACTGGGCCCAGAGCAGCAGCGCCCTAAAACCAGCAGATCCATGACAGAGAGAGGTTTCCCTTGGGTGTTTAGATATCTAAAAACTGCTAATTTTAATGGGCTTATGCAAATGTCATTTGATACAAACTAACATAACTGCTGAATATCTATCAATTCAAATTTTGACAGAAAGTGCTGGTTTTCCAGTGTATTTTATTTTTGGCAAGAAATACAATGGGACATGATTTTCTGCTTGTGCGTGCCTCCATCAAAGGTACTTTTGTAAAATGAATGGTAAAGTCCTTTTGACCTATTTCATCACCAATTTAACTCATTGCCAAGAAAGAAAATGCAGCCAAATTGTTCTTGTTTATTTGTGGAGCTGTGATACAAAATGTAGAGGTGGAAAAGCTTTTAAAACTGGGACTGTTTAATGAATGAACTTTCAGTTATTTTCTCTGTGGGCTGCTCACATTCAAGTCAGTAAGAATACAGGAAAATTTTGACTCTTACAGTCTCTATGCTTTTTTTCCAGTCAGAACTGGCGAGGTTTGTTCCCTCAGAGAGGAGTTTCCAGAAATGGAAAGGTCCAAGCCTGAGAAAACTCTTCCCTGCAGAGCTGCCCTGTCTCCCACACCAATGAACTGCAAGGCACTCTTGTCTGCCCCCTGTGAAAAATGGATCTCAAAAACCATGTCCAGGCCCAAAACTGGATGGGAGGCACAGCTTTGCCCTTTGCTGTAGGGAAGGCTTTGGGGAGAAGCTGCCAGGAACACGAGGTGCTGCAGAAGCAAAGGAGAAAGGCTTTGTGTGTGCCAGGACAGCCCAGCATCTCTGTGCCAGCTCAGGTTGTTTGGTCACTGCCCTGTGCACCTGCAGCATCCACCCTGCCCCTGTTCATCCTGCAGAGACGAGGCAGGAGGAGCCTGGCCCCTTGTTGGTACCTGGCACAGATGGATGATGCCTACCTTGGACTGACCTGCTCTTAGGTAAAAAACACCCTGCAAACCTTGCTCGCATTTTGTTTTCCCCCATGAAGTTATTTCTTACACCTTGGGCAGGGTCAGGTTGGATGGAGCCCTGAGCAATCTGATCTAGTGGGTGGCATCCTGCCCACGGCAGAGGGTTGGCACTAGAGAGTCTTTAAAGTCCCTTTTATTAGAGAGTCTTTAAGGTCCCTTTTGTGTTCTGTGATTCTCTGAAAAACACTCAAGACAAGCAATGCTGGAGTCATCCATCACTGCAGGTGTATTTTTTGGAGGCATCAGACAAAAGTTGATTTTATGATGCAAAAATGAGGGCTATCCAGGTTTTGAGATTTTTTTTTTTTCCTGCTTTCCATATAAAAGCAGTTCATTGTGTACCAGTTTGAAGCAGCAGTTCCTCAGCACATGCTGGTGTGACCCCACTGGATTTAGAGAATCCAAATAGAAAAGTTTAGGTGCGAGAGCAGCAACACTAATGGCTGGTGTAGTGACAGCTACAGTGTGTTAAATGTTTGTGTTCCCTGCTAGATATGAAGTATTTTCCTGCTTGTGCAAAAGTCCTATGGAAGTTGCTACTTTTCTTTAATAATAATCTGTATATTTTGCTAGATTTGTCCAAAGACTGGGAGAAATTAGTACATCTCCCCAGTTAGAAGGAAGTCCTGTCCTCCTTCCCAAGGAGCAACCATTGCCTTTCTGACTTTTATGACCCCAGATCAAAAGTTTTAAATTTCATTCTGTACACAAAATTGTGGAAATTTTACAGTGTTGGTAGAGCTAAAATTTACATTTTCTTCTGGTGAAATGTTTTGGCTAAATGAAATTATTAGTATGTTTGTAGTTTGTATGCACAAATGTGTCTACACAGAGCTTTAATGTTGCAGATACTCTGATTAAACAAAACAGCCTAATCAAGTCAGCTACACAGATTTGGGGAACAAAACTAAAATAAAAATATGAAAAAAAAAATTAAATCCAGTTGTGTGAATCACACTGGGTCCTCCCTCAAGACAGAGCCACAGGGTTATAAAGGGTCTGATCACTTTATTTCTTTTTCAGTTCACATTTAACAGCACAGACACAGCTGAGATTTGAAACACCGATGTGACGCCGGGTGTGTGTGTGTGTGTGGTTTGTTTGTACAGACATTCTGTTACTGAGCTCACATCTGCACCCTCTTTCCTTGGTTCCCAAATGTCTTGTTTCCCTGAGTTGCATGAATTCTGCCACCAGAGCTGCTTTGCCAGCCAGTGAGTGGGAGAGCAGCGGGGACAGCCAGGTGCCTGTGGGCAGAGGTGGAGCAGGAGGCGATGCTGCAGTGCTGCATTTCCTTGGTGTGGGTGTTTGCACCCCTGGAGCGGGGAGAGGACAGGCTCGGGTGCCACCAAGGAGCAGCAACCAGCCCCTGGCCCCAGCAAGGTGAGAGAAAAGACACTGAATGTCCAGAAGAGGCCAGTTTCTCTGGTGAGTTCAACCTGAGCAGCTGAAGGTGTCACAGGGGAAGTGGCCCATCGGTGTGAGCGGGGGGTTGGAGGCAGGAGAGTTCTGCTGACACAAAATTCACCAGGGACAATTAAAATTCATCAGCAGGGACAGGGGGCTGTGGGCCAGCTGGGGATGAACACTAGAACCAAAGGAAGCTGCTATCACACATGCATGCTCCAAAGCTCTGTCAGCTCTGTGGGGCACAGAACCCACATGTTGGTGAGACAATATAAGCCACATTCATTAGCACAGTAGATGGAACATTTTCTGGTTTGCCTTGAAATGGCACACTTGAGGTATGAAAATCTAATTTAAGGGGTTTATGAATCAAGTATGAGAATGTATCTGCCTGTGTCCTTTAATGCAGATTTTTCTATTATTTTCTCGGGTCACGGTGGTTAAAAAATGCAAAATGTTCTCAATTCAACACTGCAGCAAACGAGCACAAATGCACACCAGGTTTTACAGGGGATGTGGCACTGGGACAGCCTTTAAACAGAAACATGGGGGGTTTACAGGCAGGATACCTGTCCTCAGCAAGCTTTGGGGTGCAGTTAGGGACAGGTAGCCACAAACTCTTTACAAATATTGAAACAATTAAAAGCTTCCAAGTTCAAACACATCAAGTAATTCACAGTCAGAACAGAAAAAGTACAGATGATTTAGCTAGTAAAAAAAAAAAAAAAAAAAGAGACTTTGGTGGGTGATTGCATTCCACATTTTTATAGCATCACTGCAGGCCTGAAGTCAGCACTGTCCTTGTCCCACTGATATATATTTTAAAAAAATATTTCAGCACAGTCACATTCTAAGCCACTTCTGTGAAAGCTTTTTGTTTTGCTTCCTTTCTACTTGGATGTGACATGGAGGTTATTCATTTTTAGCATGTTTAAAAATTATCCATTTTATATCTCTTTTTTTTTTTTTTAAGAAATAATTTTCTTCATTCCAAGAAAAACATGAGCTTACTTAAAAACTGATATTATGAAAAGTGTATCAAATTTCCTGTTTACTACTCCAAAAAGGCAATTCAGTATCCTCTCTCTAGGGTCAGATTAGATGCTAGCAAAATTCTTAGCAAAACTAAAGCTAACTCTGGAAAAATTCAGCTGGAATTGGCGCTGCTGAAGTCGTACAAACTCTCGAGTCAAGTGGGCCACGTTTGCCTGCTCAGGACTGGGCTAAAGTCAGCATTAAAAAATCAAACGGGCAAAAGCAGCACAAAAATAACGCCTGGAGCATTGCCACGTTCTGTGACCCCCTCTCTCCTCTCAGAGTCCCAAACTTCAGGTTTTTCCCCTCAGATCTTTAACTGCTTGCACCGCGCCTCTCATCCCATCCGCGCAATGACCCAAGTGGCGCTTCCAGCGTTGGCGCTCCCATTCCTTGCCCTGTCCCCTGCCGTTGTGGCTGGCTGGGTGGCACGGGGTGCCCCGGGTGTCATGTGGTGCCAGCGGGCTCTGTCCAGCCGCGGGAGCTGCCCTGCTTGCTGCTGGAGAGGCTGTGCTGGGGCAGGGCGCGCAGCCCCAGCAGGCGGCAGGCGGCCGCGCGGTACTTGCGCGACATGATGTTGTACAGGATGGGGTTGATGGCTGCGCTAAGGTAGAAGAGCACAAAGGACACCAGGTTGCAGTACTGGCTGATCACTGCTATCTCCAGGGAGCCGGCTTCGAAGGATTTGGAAAATAAGTAGCGTCCTACGTGAAAAGGCAACCAGCAGAGTATGAACGCAAATACCACCACGACTAAAACAAAAACAGCAGAAGAAAGCGTGTTAAGTGTGAGTATCAACATACAGGTGATTAACATTCTGTGCTGCAGCTCTGTTCCTTTAACCAATTAATTACAAAGTGTGAAAATGCCTCCCTTAAGCTTTCGCTTGTGTCTCAGTACACTGAAAATATAAATTGATGATACTTTATACACTTGGATCATATCTAAATAGGCTGCCTGAATATTGCCCAACTAATCTGTTGTAGCAAACTTCTGACCTATAAAACCTATGTTTGCAACAACAGACTGTTAAAGAATCCAGATGGTTACAAAATATAACTATCTATCATCTACAGTGTTTAACAAAAGCAAATTATACGTGATAGACTCAACACTGTGGTTTATAATGAAGAATGTAATCGCTGGGAAGCTAAATTATTTAAGACAAAAAGCAAAATTGTTAAAGGCAAAGGCCCCAGAATAAAACACAGAATGGGAACTTGTTGAGCACATATGCCAAGATAAGGAAAGTAGTTCATCCCTCCAGTTTGTCCATTTTTTGGAAGATGAGTTACTCCCAAGAAGAGTAAAACTAAATGTGTAGTATATAACTACATAATTATAGTTATACAGTATTTCTGTAATACTGTATTACTAGAGTGGTTGCATTTGCATGTAAATATCATATCTGTAGAATAATGGGAATGTGTGTATCCCTGAACACTGGCCCATTGGAGTTTTTATCTGAGAGAAAGGGAAACAGTTTCTGTTCATTTCCTGTGTGCCTTTGACCTTTATCATTTTTCATATTGCTCTGAGTGTAATAATTAATATATTACAGGGAGAAAAACCAGAAAACTCGAGCAAGGGTTTCTGACATTCTTAAGCAATTTTTACAGTTAATCTGTTCATGGAATCACAGAATTGTTTGGGTTGGAAAGGAACTTAAAGAAAATCTTTTTCCAAGCCCCCTGCTTTAAGCAGAGACACCTTACATGAGGCCAGGTTGTTCAAAGTCCAGTCCAACCTGGTCCTGGTGGGCAGGTTGTGTTAGCAACCTGCTTGTGTTAGCTATGCTCATATCATGTCTTAGAAGATAATAACATTCTAATTACCGAGAGGAATGGGTATCTTTCCCCAGAAATTCTGCACCAGCATTCCCAAGTTTAAAAGGATGCTTACGCAGGATTTGTGGTGGAGTGGAAAGCACCAGAGCTTGAGGTTCAGATTAGGTTTTCCAGCTCTGCATCTTCTTGAGCCAACCACTTCCAGTTTTCCCTCACTATCTTCACTGCAAAATTAATTTGATTCCCTAGCTCACATGGGGATTTGAATCCATGTAATGAATATTACCATGATGGCTATTATGAATGAGCAGAGTTTAAAGCACAGTCTATTATGACTAGAATTTTAAGCACAGGTAGGCAATATCCCTAGTCAGGCTTTTAACAGTTTGATCTTCATGCATGCACAGTCCCATGGATTTCAAAAGAAATGGGATGTGGTAGCTCCTTTGCAAGTCAGGCTGTACATTTAGGTGTTTAATTTCAGTCCCAGAAGCATAACCTGTCTTTACAGTTAAAAGAACTTCTGATGCTAATCCCATTTACTTGATGTTCCATGACTTGATAAAGCCTCAGAAAGCCCCTTCTAAATTTTGAGCAGAACATTAACACCAGTGAGAGTTGACTGCATTGAGCATCTGCTGCAACTGAGCCCTGACTAACTTCTTCCCATCTTTCTATCAGGCATCAGACTGTTATCATTTAGGGAATATATGCTCTCTGTCAGAGGAGAGTCTTACCACTGCCTGGCTGTTCTCAGACCTTGTAAAAGGAAAAAAAAAAAGAGTGCCTGAAATATTGCAATGCTTGTGGCAACACTTCAGAGCAGAAATAAGCATTTTTTTATTCCAAAATTCTTTACAGTTAAGTATATGGAAATATAAGCATGGTAGTAATATAAGTAATTTACTCATAGTCAGTGGAAGTTCATAATCCTGAACCTCTAGAAGTGGGAGCAATTAATTACTTTCAAGGTCACGCTTACCAGACTGAAGTAATTCTATTGATCATAAAACGCAGCTGAAAGGGCATAAAGAATGCTGCTGGTTTTATTATTCCTCCTGCTGTTGCATAGTAATAAATTAGGACATGAACAAAAAGATCAGATAGGCTCCTCTCTGATAATTAAGGTACTTAGGACTCACTGCCACCTCTTGTCTGCCTCATTAGCCCACCACTTCAACCTTGCTGAAAGGAGCCTGTGAAAGCTCCTTCCTGCAGAGCATCTTGTCCCCCCAAAATCCACGGGATGACTTGCACTGCAGAGGACTTTTGGCTTGGGTAAAAGCACGCAGCAGCAGCAGCAGGATTCTGCAGTTTTCAGACACTAAACTGCAGGACAACTTTTTGGGTTTGTGTTTCAAACTACATGCACTGACTTAGTATGTTAAAACTTGTGTTTCCATGTGCCAACCACAAGTGCTGTTTAAAGCATTCAGCAGTGTCGATACACAAAGTTAGGAATGACAGTGTCTGTTGTCCTGATCCTGTTTTCTTACAGTCTGTGAGATTTTACAGCATCACAGACCTCAAAGGAGACTCGGTGCTCCCGATTCAGCATATCATATTGGTTTTGAGAATATGAAAATGCAGATACATTTTCATAAGCCTACACAGCCATGGTAGGAAATAACCCCAGTTTGCTAAAACCTTGATACTCTTTTCCTATGAATCTTAGTGCACATCATGCCCTGCCTGCCTGGCTCTAGTCTGCAGCTCAACTTCATGGCTTGAGAAGGGTTTAGTTTTGTTTAAAAATGAAATAAACTGTTCTCTGTAAATAACATTGGTATCCACAACCAAAGAGCAAAAAAGCTCAAAAATCTCGAGGGCACAAGCTAATTATAACTGTAGTATTTGTCCTTGTCAGGGATTTTTACTAATGTTTGTTTAACTGTTTGGGAGTCCCCAGCTCAAACCAGTTAGAAATAAATCTAAGAGGGGAGGAGAGTTATCCTACAGCTACCCTGAGGTTTAGCCTTTTGTATGAAACATTTTCTTTCCTTTGGAAGGAACTACAGCAAACTATCAGAGAGCTCCCTGTCTTTTTCTCTCTCTCTCTCACACACACACAAGCACACACATCCTTTTGGAAAAACAGAGCAAGAGGACTCGTACCTAACATTTTCACAGTTTGCTTGTTGTTCTTATCCCTGATGGCAGTGTTTGGACCGATGTTCTTCCTCTTCCTCCTCCAGAGCTTCCTCCCGATGAGGCTGTAGAGCACGGTCAGGCAGAACACGGGCAGGAAGAAGAAGATGCTGGAGGTCCAGACCATGATGGTGAGCAGCCCCGAGCGGATGGCGTACTCGGTGGCTCGGCACTCGTTGGTGCTCAGGGGGTTCGTGCCGTTCTCGTGCTCGACCCCCACCAGGATGAAGATGGGGCCGGCGCTGATGAAGGAGATGGCCCAGAGGAAGAGGATGACCAGCTTGACCTTCCCCTTGGTGATGATGACTTTAGCTCGCAGGGGGAAGCAGATGGCGACGTACCGCTCCACGCTGAGCGCCGTGATGTTGAGGATGGTGGAGTAGGTGCAGCTCTCGCTGATGAACTGGAAGAGCTTGCACAGGAGGTTCCCGAAGTTCCAGGGCCGGTACTGCCAGAGGCGGAAGAGATCCAGGGGCATGCAGAGGAAGATGAGCAGGTCGGAGAAGGCCATGCTGGACAGGTAGAAGTTGGTGGTGGTCCTCATGTCCCGGAACCGCGACACCACCAGCATGGTCATGAGGTTGCCGATGATCCCGATGACGAAGAGCAGGACGCAGGCGACGGTGATGCCGGTGAGCACGGGCACGGGGAACAGGTGCAGCGGGGGCTCGGCGCCCGTCCGGTTCTCCGCGCCGCGGCCGCCCGCGCTCCCCTCCCGCATCCTGGCGCCGCGGGCTGCGCATCCCCGCCCGGCGCGGCGCGGCCCGGCCCCGCGCGGAGCCCGCTGCGCGCCCGGGCAGGTGCGGGGCCGGGGGCGGGCAGGCACGGGCAGGGACGGACGGGCGGCCCCGCTCCGCCTCTCCGCGCTCCGCCGCTCCCCCCGGCCCGGGGCGGGCGGGCGCTGCCGCGCGTCACAGGAGACGTGGGCACGGAGCGGCCCCGCTGCGACCCCCGCTGCTCTCCCGAGCCGCCAAACTTTGCTGCCGAGCCCCGGGGGGAGCGGGACGGCTCGGGTCCGGCCCCGCTCCCTGCCCCACCGCCCGCCCGCTTGGGCAGGTGCGGGTGTCGCTGCTCCGTGCTCCCGATGCCCCGGAGCCGTGCCCAGGTGCGGTGCCGCCCGTCCGTGCCCCGGTGCGGTGCCGTCTGTCCGTGCCCGCGGAACTGTGCCCCGGTGCGGTGCCGCCTGTCGGAGCTCCCGGAGTCCCGAGCCGTGCCCAGGTGTGATGCTGCCCGTCCGTGCCCCTGGAGCCGTGCCCAGGTCCCCGGGTGCGGTGCCGCCTGTCCGTGCCCCGGTGCCGCCCGTCCGTGCCCCCGAGCCCGGGTCCCTTCCCTCGGGCGCTCTCAGCGCTCTGTCCCCGCACTCTCGGCACTCGCGGCCGGTCCCCAGCCGTGGGTGCGATCGCTGCCTCCTCGCTCCGTATCTTTGGTGTGCCCTTGGGTCTTGGCAGGAGCCCGGCCAGGCTCCTGCTCGGTGAAGCTGCGGCAGCCACCCGCTTCTACATGATTTACCCGCAATTAAATTTCAATTCAGCGTGTTACTGCTGTCCTCTGCTCTGCCCTTTGCAGGCACGGACAGAACCGTGCTTCCCCAGCTGCAGACTGCTGTTGTACGGAAGGAGAATGTTGGACCCAAGAAATAAGACGTGAGCAGAACAAGGTGAGATCAGAGGCAGTAAAGTAACTTCCCACACATCTGTATAGGGTGTATCTCTCCAGCTTTCCAGCTTGTCCCCACAAACTCTAAGGGTATGTGTGCTGCAGCACAGTCCTTTTTCACTCCTGTCTGTCTAGAGGGGCTGGATCTCTTGTGTCCCGTCTCTCAGGGGGCAGCCAGAGCTCTGAATCCTTGTTGGCATCTGCCTTAACCGTAGAATCATGGAATGGTTTGGGTAGGAAGGGATCTTAAAGCTCATCCCATTCCACCAGCCCAGGCTGCTCTGAGCTCCATCAGTCCATCAGTCCAGCAGGTTTATGCCATTCCCCTTCCATGGCTGCAGGGCTTTGCTGGAGGGTAGACAGAGCACAAGTGTGATGTGACACAATGCTGAGTTACTCTGCCTGTGCCAGTTTTCTGTAATTTGTGCCTTCTGTAATCATGCAAGCATTAGCCTTTGTGCCTTATCCATATCCTACTTTGGATGATATATTTCTGCAGTTTCACTGGAATCAGTATTCTCATTCCTGCTCATGAACTGTGAGACAGTTTTGCAGCAAGTTACTCAACAGTTGCTAAATTTTATGAGGGATGGCTGCACATTATTGCAGTTGAAAAGGAGGAAGAGTCTAATGTACTTCTCACTTTGTCTACCCAGCTGCCTATATAGTTGTGTTATATGTTTCTGAATAAAAATCATGGGCTTTATGCCACTAAAAGACAGTTATTTCATATTAGAACTGTGTCCCCAGTCTAATTTACATGACATTGCTTTATATTATGGAGGAGATGGCAACTGCTTATGTGGTTAGGCTGCCAAGTACTTTGCATTATTACAAGGAATTATCTCACTCCTTTTTAAAATTTCTTTTCCCTAATACATTCCCAGACCAGTGATGTTTAGTTGCAAGATGTTGATATTTACCAGAGAAAATGGCCCAAAGCTATAAATGTGACTTTCTATGTAGAGGGGATACTTCATGTAAATTATTTTTGGTTTTGCTCAACTGTGTCTTGTCAAAAATGACAATTTATCTTTCTCCAGGGAGAGAAAAACGTTGAGGTTTTTAGTTTTGTATATTTGGTTTTGGTTTTGCTTTTTTGTTTGTTTGATTTTTTTGTTTGGTTTTTTTGGTGTTTTTTTCCCCCAAGAAAATAATTAATTATTTTCTGGAATAATAACTTATTGTGGTGTCTATACCAAAATCAAGTACCAGCAGTGAGTGAGAACCAGATCTGTACGCTCCAGACAACCTGAGCTCGTAATGCAATGATTTAACCCTGAATTCCTTGGGAGTTTGATGTGTTTTCAGCCAATTGGATCAGAACTGGCAGTTGCACTTCAAATGCAGCAACATTGATCTCCTTCTTGAAAGGGTATCATGAGTCAAGGGCTCCTCTGGCTGCTTTTCCTGCGTGGGGTTGGATCAGGGCCAGAAAAAAATGCCAGATGAGAGAGAAGGGCAGCTTTAGTTTTCTTTTTAATTTCTTTGGTGATTGCAGGCCAAATTTGGATGGAATTTAAAGATTTGTCATCCACAAACACTGCATGATAATGGATTCCTGCTTGGGCTTTGCATTTGTTTAAGGACAGTGGTGCAGGGAGTGGTGATAGAAGAGGTAAGAGTTGTGAGAGAAGATGGCTTTAGGCTCCCAAAAGTTATCTAGCAGCCCCCAGCTGCAAGAACATTAGTTTCATGTTGCCAACAAGACAAGAGTGAAGGCATTGGTCTTACTGCAATGAGAGAAAGGGGCTGAAGTTAAGGACTTTTTATTCTATTTATCCACTAACTGGATGTATGAGCAAACCAGATATTAAAAAGATAATTTAGAAAACGCATTATACTAGACATTTACCTTTCATGGAACTCTTAAATTATTTGTGTTTCTCTTCAGTAGCTTCAGAACTGCATTGAGCACTGGAGATGAAATAGAAGAGTTTCTATTTGTGGCTCTTTGAGATTTCTCTCCGATGTTCCATTCTTTCCATTTTCTTCTTGTCCAGTAAAGTTCTAATTCTTGTTTATATCAGTCTTTGTTGTCATGGAAATATCTGAAGGCTTTGAACCTACAATCATTATGTGTTTATTGTGGAGAGAAGAAACTGGAAAACAGATTGTATGGTAGAGATTCATTTTAAAATGATGCACCTCCAAAAATCAGAGAAAAGCAAATTCAGGTTTTTTGTATTATATCCAGGGACAGAAGGTGTTTTGACTGCTGTTATAAATGTGGTTTAGAGCAGGAGGTAGCACCTGGTGTATGCTTTCAAAGGTTGTGGTTTAGCAACTCTCATCGCTGAGGAGCGCAGTTGGAATAGCACTAATCCAGCTTAATAAAGTCAAACACTGAATGAGCTCAAATTACTTTACAGAGGTTTATATAGAAGTAATATCTGCAAGCAGACTTCAAACCACTGCTAGTTTATTAATCAGCAAGGCTGTGCTCTGCAGTCACTAATTCTGAGGTTTAGACTCAGCTCACTGGGTCCCACCTGGGCATTGTGTTCCTCTTCCTCAGCCTCACTCCCAGCTCCAGAGAGAACCTGGGTGCAGTGATTGAACCTTCCACCACCCCAGCTGCCCATCCAGCCTGGCCTGGGCACTGCCGGGGATCCAGGGGCTCCACAGCTGCTCTGGGCACCTGTGCCAGGGCCTGCCCACCCTCACAGGGAGGAATTCCTTCCCAATATCCCATCCAATCCTGCCCCTCAGGCAGTGGGAAGCCATTCCCCTTTGCCCTGTCATTCTGTGCCCTGGTGAAAAGTCCATTTCCAGCTCCCTTGGAGCCTCTGGAAGATGCTGTAAGGTCTCCCAGAGCCTTCTCTTCTCCAGGCTGAACAAACATCTTCTACTGTAGCTTGGTAATGGGTAAAGATCAGATGTTTTGCTACTAAATAAGAATTCCCAGTGCTTAAATAATTGCTAAAGCCCAGAAACATGAGAAGTACCTCAAGGGAAACACTCAGAATTTTGTCTTCTGGTCACAAGAAAATTTTCAGGGATTTCTTCAGCTTACTGCTTCCAGATGCTGCTCACCAGCTGGGACCTGGGAGCCAGTCATATGGAATAGCACAACATGGCATTGCTCAATGGTTTGCATTTTGTCCTTTGCATTGCAACCATCTCTGGCATTTAGTGGATCATATCTGATACCAATCAATGTCAGGGAAATGATCTAAGACAGGGTTGTCATGGAAGCCATAGGATGACACCAATAATCACTGTGAGACTAAACAACTATTTAGTAAAAACGTTTTATATAAAAGTCATGTAGAAAAATTTACAATATTCACATATTAATGCAATCTATAAAAATTTGCTACATATGTCATTCAGCATAAAGTGAGATGAAAAGTGTGAGTCAGGACACAGCACAAACAGAACTTGCTATATTTTTCAATTCTTCTTTAAAGGTGTCCTGTCTGATATCCCTTGATAATCTTCCCCCAAGATAACATCTGGCAAACATGCCTTCAGATCACTCAGAAAATTACAATTTGGTGTGATTCCTGTTGCAATGTGCTCTGCATGCAGTGATCAAACCTGATAGCAGGGGTCAGTCCTGTGCTGAAAGCACCAAGCCCAGTCCATCTGCAAGGAGAACCTACAAAAGTCATTTCTGCAAGGTAACAGACATACAGGTATGTAGGGAATGGCTCTGTTCTCCAGCCCTTCTGGCTGGGAGAAAATTTCTGATTTCAATACTGCAATCAGAGAGAAAACTGTAGAAATGCTTTCTGTTCTCTGTCAAAACAGATGATTTGAGAAGGAGGAAAACCAAAGTGTTCCACTAAATGGTGAAGAATTTCACATATTTGATTGCCACTGAACCCAGCACGTGTGACACTGTCAAACAGCAGGCAGAAGTTAAACCTCATTATTTTCAGCTTACTCTGGTGTGTTTCTTGGCTCCAACCTGCCAAAAGAAGGGTATTCCTGAAATTCTTCTCCTGCTGCTCCAACACAGTGTTTGAGTGAGCCAAGGTGCTTGTCTGAATGGGCAGATAAAGATGGGCTGTGTCTGTTAATCCCCTGCTGTTGGTGGGCAGGAGGATGAACCGTGCCTGTTTACTGCTGAGGCCCGGGTGCAGGGGCTGCTGTGATTTAATTACAGCATGCAGGTGAATGGGAGGGTTCCCACGGCAACCCCAGTGTATTCAAAAAAAAAAAAACAAACAGACAGCCAGACCTCATCCTGCATCACAAGTACCATTTGCAGAACTGTTTCCTTTCCCTCCAATTTTATTTTTCCACCCTTCCCACTGTTTCCTACAAATCTGGGCAAAATGCATGCATGGTGCAATTTGCTATTCCTCCACTGACAATGCTACAGATGTGCTGGTTTACACTACCTGACTTTGGCTGTGCATTGAGCCCATACAGTCCAAACTTTCAAATCCTTTTAATACAAAATAGTCATTTTCATTGAGTTAAAAAATATACTGTTCATTTTTTAAAAAAAAAGTATTTTATAAAAAACATTGTGAGAATTTTCCTCCCATTCCTAAAAAATAAAATCAAATAATTACAGCATTATCTAAATAAGCAGCATATTTGTAAGTACAGATAGTTGTGCCTGTTTTCCTCAAAATGTTAGTCATTGGGGTGTGTTATTCTACATTACATCCTACCAAACACAGACCAGTACAAATAAACATGGAAGAATCTTGTCATGCCTAAATTGCTGCAAATTTCTCACAGAATTCAGTATTTATGGAAACCCACCTTTTTTTTTTTTTCTGGATCCAGTTCTTGCTGTCAACAACTGTAACAGCAACTGCATTACTGAACTTATTGGGAGCCTGGTGAGATGTCTGCAGCAGAGTAATTAAGTAAATAGGCACTGTTACAAAATGTTGATCAAAACACAGATTGATTTCAAAAGCTCTTCAGTGCCATTCCAGCAGCTGTTCTTATGTACAATATCCTGCACAAGACAAATGTGTTTACTCAAGACATGATCCTGGAGAATGCCCAAGCACATACTTAATTTCAAGCATGTGGATACCCTGGTGTAGTCAGACTGTTTGTGTGCTTAAAATTAATTGGGTGCTTAAGTGCTTTGTTAGACGAGATGAAGATGTGCAGCTTCTGCAAAACTCCTGTTCAAAAGAATTCAGGAGAAATTCCACAGGCACTTGGGTACAGTATGTACAAAGGTTCCTGATATATTCAAGACAGGGTCCAAAGGAGAGCAAAATAGAATTTGATATCCAGTCTCAGCCTTGAGGAGCCAGACGTGGAGCATCCACCATCCCTGGTGCCACAGCCGAGCCAGCCTGGAGCATCCCTGCTGCTGGGGAGCCCTCACCTGCCCAGGGCTCTGGCCAAGGAATCACCTGAGGGCTGTGAATCCCTGCCACATTCCCAGCCTGGCTGCCTGTGCCTGCACAGAGCATTGCCACAGCCAGCTGCTGCTGCTCTTCCTGGCTGCAGGGACAGAACTCGGCACGCGGTGAGTGAGCTGAGAAAGGGCAGTCTGCTCTTTTTGGCATTGATACAGCTTTTGCTTGTGATCCCCTATTTTATAGGAATTTAAGCTGTCCTGACTAGAAAACACTGGGCCATTTGGGATCATGACTTTCAGGTTCTAACTGATCATAAAGGCTCCAAAAAAACTTGCTTCTTTGTCCATGTCAACTATGTCACTGTTGCTGACAGAGACAAAAATCCTGTCCTCTCTCTTCAGCTGGAACACACCACCTTGATAGATGGAATAAAGTCCATATTCTGCCTTTTTAGACCAGCAGCTTGTCCTTGCACTCTTCATGAGCAAAATGGGCTCAGGGTAATTGGTCAGTTTGTAAACATACTGGACAAGCTGTTTGGGGTTTCTGATTTGTCCCAACAATTCTGAGTCCTCGTTCTCGTCTTCACGGAAGCGAAAGTAAATTTGTGAGTAGATGTAGTAAAAGCCTGTCTGGGGTATAACTAACTCCCCATTTCTCAGCTCCACGTTGTAAAGGAAGGAGTGGCCTTTTCTTGATGGTTCCCAGTTGTTTATTTTGTGTCCAATTCCTCTTCTGGGCAAGGGATTTACTTAAAAAAAAAAAAAAAAAAGAGAAAAAGAAACGTTAACTTAAAAAACAGGTAGTGAAGTCAAGTGTCTGCTAGCTGAGGAGCCTGGTTTTTAATAACAAAATAAGGAATCTGCTCTTCCCAAAGTTCATTAGGTCCATTCTCACAACAATCTGATGGTCCACAAGTAAGCTTTATGTAGGAATTAACATGAACTGCCTTTATTTTTAATATTTGTCCTACCAAATAAGGGGGGAAAATTATGTTTTTACTTAGTAACAAAGTTAAAATATCCATTAGTGTCTGATACCCTCTGAAGCTGCAGAAAGCCGAGCAAGCCCTTCATTAGCATGGCCTGAATGTCAAGTCTCTCCTGTCTGTCTCACATTTCTAATAGGTCTGTCACCATAGCAGCTGGGACTCGCAAAACCAACAGAAGGAAATGAAAGAAAACAGGGAAACTTAACTCTAGGAAGGACATCTAAATAACACTAGGAAGGACATCTAAAGTTCTTTTTCCTCCTAATGAGGGTTCCAAAAGAAGAGCTAGGGAGGAACCCAGAGGAAATGGGCTTTCTCTGTCTTTGGTGGGAATTAGCAGGAAAAACCCAATGTTTGGGACAAGACAATTTTTTTCCTACTACTAACCCAATACGAGTATTAAAAGGTGTTTTGAGGCTAGCAGTGGGAGAGTAATTGAATTAATTTTGTGGTCTCTAACTGTGGTTAAAGGCTTCTCCTTACTGCGTGAGGACAGGGAGCTCCTCCTGCTGCTGCTGGCTGTCAGGTGTGCCGCGATGCGGCGGACGGGACCGCGCGGCTGCTGCCCCTCCGAGTGTGGCAGGGTCAGAGTCTTCTCAACTGAAGGGAAAAAGAAACCCCACATCAGAAGCAAGGACTTTAGAAAGCACATCTATTCCACCTGACTTGATTTTTAGGAATAGCTATGTCACTTTTTAATTGACTGAACCACAGAGTGATGGCTGATTGTTGGCTAGTAAGGCTCAAATTCTGCTTTCGCGCTTGCTCATGAAATGTCTTTATGTGCTTCTTTATTCTTTTTCTCCTCCCTCTGCCTTCAAGTTACTGACAAAATAACCCACAGTACTCAATTTTATGGTTAAATATTCCTAATCTCCCTGTGAATTTCCACTTGGACGCTGTAATGCTTTCACTCAGCATCTTTAGTGTGAGCTTCAGCAGAGCCATTCCTTAACTGATCTCTGCAGCTCTGTGCTGCATGTTCCTGGGGAGAGCTTTTTAAACATCCCCCATACACATGGGACTGAGATCCAGAGGCTGAGTCCTCTGCATCCACCTTGGTTACCTTGCTCTAACCACTTGACAGTAATTCTGAAAAAAATTTACCTTCTACTAATAAGTAACCATTTTTGATGACTTGATGCCACTACAAGATCTTAGATCATACAAGGATTTGATGCCAGTTTTCTGCACTTTTAAAAAAATCAAGTCATTACACATCAAGTGCCCCTAGCAGCTCCTTTTTACCACAGATAATAAAATTACAATACCGTTGATTGCAGATATGTTTTCCTCGTAGCTTCTTGACATCATCTGCCAACAAACACAGCAAAAATTAATTAGCTTGTCAGCTGAGGCTGACAGGGACAAGAAAAAGACACACCTTTTTTTACTCATGAATAAAGGAGATTCTGAATTTGATCAACAAGAAAACAGGGGGGGAAAAAGCACCTATTAATATGCTGTAATAGGTGATGAAAGGCATAGGAAAACATTTTCAAGAGCTCAGGCATAAGTCTATTGAAAAATCTGAATTTCATGCTTCTCTCAAATAAGAGAAGTGTCCAAGCACCAGCTTCCATTTGCAGAATACTTGGCACTGTGAACTATATGGTCTTAGATCTCAGCAATTAAATTTAATTTATTTTTATACCTCTCCCTATCTAAGATCTTAATCCAGCATATTTTACTTTGCGCATTCCCCTTCTTCATAACTGTTTGCTGACTGCTGAAACAAACCAGTTTGGTATGGACAGTGATGGAGCAGCAGCAAGTGTGGTGATGCTTTACCTGGGTGGCTAATAAAGCCTGTATTGCCAATTGTTGGTGGCTTTTGTCCTGCCACATTTCTATTTATCCATCTATCCTGATAATAATAGTAGTATTAGCATAATTGTAACTTATTTCTGGCACCCAGCCTACTTTTTTCTAAGCAACCAGGGAGCTAGTAGGTATGTCAGATGTGTAAACATCCACCAACTAAAACAATGCTTTCTCTGTGCAGGAGCTCAGGGACTTCACTGGCAGAGCTTCCACCAAAGGAGCTGAGATCTCTGAATACAAATAGACAATCTGGTTTGGACTGCAAGATCTGTTTTTGCCAGGAAATTTCAGCCAGGAGATAATTTCTGTGGATGAGCTTGTTTATGTGCTGGAGATGGGATTTTGAAAGCCATTCCAGAGGATTTTAGCCCCTGTGATTTTTCAGCCAGACTGACTTTGTCCTCTGTAGCCAAAATGACGTGTATGGTGTGTAAGTCATGCAGGAGGTGCTCTTTGGGAAGGTGCTGTGCCTGATGCTGTGTGCCCACTTGCTCTTTCCTCCATCACTGCATCACACAGCTCGTGACTGGATCACTCCTTAGGCACCTTTGTACCTCTCCCTGTGTTACATTTAACCTCATTTGCTCTCCCCAGCCTCCCTGTTTTTTCAAAGAGGCAGTGACAGCTCTGATAGCACCATGACTGTATAGTCAGTCAGAAACCCTTTACCCTGAGGTATTTCAGATAAGCCAACCCATCACTGGAATTTGCTTAGTAAAAGCTGATAGTCTTTGCTTTAGTATTTCCTGAATGCAGTGAAACCACTTTTATGGGTTGTTTTTCCCTTTGCCTCAGTGCAAGCAGTGCAGCTGGAGCTGTGGCCTGACCATTGCTTTGCAATAAAACAATCTGAGCCTCCTTTATTCTGCTATTAGGATTCCTCCAGCTGTAACAACACCAAGCACACTGCTCCCAAATACCTTTTTAATTAACTTTCCCAGGTGCCACTTGACTTTCCAGCAGGGATCAGCTTCTCTGTCCTCACCCTCGATGAGCTCCAGGTCTTGGAGGGAGTTGCCGATCTCCTCCCCGGTGAGACAGGCGATGCCGCTCCTCGAGTACGAGTCCTGCAGCTGCAGCACAGGGAAAAGCCAGCATTGCTCATCCAGCTGTTTGCAGCTGTGGTAAGTCACTACGTTCACTAACTGCTAAGAAACACACTTTTCTTTTCTCTGAAGTATGGTGCAAGTAGTATATGAACAACAAGAGGATTTAATTCATCCTGATGTGACTTATTTAAATATGAGGGCATACCTCACATGCAAAAATATGCTTGCATTATCTGCATGGACATAATTGCAGTATCCAGTATTCAACTTAATAGGTTTTGTGAAAATTCAACACCCAAATCCTTGATGTTGGAAACTCTTTAGATTCTCTAGTTCTGCATTAGAAACATTTCTTTAGACAGATTATTGAGGATGAAATCAAATATTAGACAGATTATTGATGATGAAATCAAATACTAGAACTTAAAACAGTATTTTCTGCCAATTGCATTTATAATCCAGACCTTTGCTGTTAGATATATCTGTACCTTATCCTCCCCATATCCAGTTTAGGCTCTCTCCTAATACCATTTATCCTGATAATCCAGACAATTGAGATGACATTTGAGTCCAAATAAAATTATAATGCCAGATGGTTTTGACATGAAAATATCAAATATCTGTACCCTATAGTCATGGAGGAAACATTTTTGTTTTCTGCAAAGATTGAAGAGATTGGCAAAACTCCTTTTGGCTCCAAGGGAATGTGACTGGGAGGGTTTTCCTGGTGGAAATCTCTCAGAGCTCCCTGCGGATGCAACTCCAGCTGGCGCTGTTGGTTAATGTGGGAGCACAGGACCTGAGAGCAGCCCTTGTTTGCTTTGAACCGGGGTCCTGCTGCAGCAGCTACACACTGGTCAGCTTTGTGCAGCCAGCAAAGCACTCCGGGAACTTGGAGAAAACAGCAAGAAACATGCAAAGCATTCAGATGGAATCCTGGCAGCAGCATTTAAATTTCACTCTTTTGTTGTGTTAAAGAAGCTTGGTTTGCTTTGCTAAACAGATGCATTTTTTCCTACAAGCACCAGTTTTTAGCTGACCATGAGACTGGGGCATTGAAAGCAACAGGTGAATATTCTCCTTCACTCTCCATGCCTTTCCTGGCTGTTAGAAAACAAAGGTGTTTAGGAAGAGATTTCCTGCTACAAGGGATTTCACCCCCTTCAAGTCCCACCTTCAGTTTGCAGCAGCAGATTCCACTGAGCTTCAGCTAGTACTTGAAATGATGTATTTTGGAGGCAGCAGAAGGAAAAGTGTTTGTGAGGGTTTCTGTGTCCTTGCCAAGGAGTACAGTGGTATTTTTAAAACAAGTTTCAAGAACTCAAAGTGATTAATATTATGTGCTCATTAAGGTAAAACTACTGGCTCTGACCCGTTTAACCACACAATGAGCTTCTATAAAAAAGTAGTTTGACGAGTTTAAGAAAAAACGCCAGACATAGGCAAGTTGTGAGGTTACTGTTTATTCTCTTGCAGACTTGTCACAGCTCAGCTCCCAGCTCTGCCCTCCCATCTGGGAGCAAACAGCCCTGTGCCTCTGCCTCCACCTCACCTGCCCACTTTTCCCCAAAACAGCTTCACTCTCCTGGCACTGGAACCTTTCTTTGTGTGCAGTTTGAAACCTCAGGGAATGCAACCTTGCAGCAGCACAGGATGGAACCGAGGGACTGGGATTTCTCTTGTAAGATTTACTCAAATGAGGTTTACCTGCAGCACTGAACCCTTTGAGGGCACAACTCCTGCAGGAATCTTATCTTGTAGAGCCTCTCTCCTATGTTAGGAGTGGTTACTGGATTTGAAATAGGAGGAAGCCTGAGGTTGTTTTCCTTGCAGCCCTGTATCCTGAAGCATAAGAACTTTATTGTCCTAGTACTTCCTCTTAAAGCAAAGCAGTTACACAAATGTCATACTCCTAGTCCTAATCAGGTTACTACAGCTGTAGTGGACAAACCCTGCTAGTTACCAGCATGCTTTTTGTAAAGATAGAAATACCTGCAGTGTGTGCAGCCACAGTGATATGGTGAAGGTGTAGAAATGCAGGTATTGTGAACAAAAAAGAGGGAAGAAAAATGTGCAGATAAAAATCACAGTTTATCTACAGAGATTTATTCCACATGCACCACGTGGATGTGGAGTAGCAGGCTGTGCCTAGACGAGTTTTTTCCTGTTTATTGTGCACCAGATGGCAAATGCAGGAATATGTGGTTAAGGTACCCCCTCCAGAGCCAGCAACCTTTTTTGCAGTCCAGCATATCTCTGGTGTATTCCTTCACAACAAATGCAGGCTTGCCATTCTTCAGGAACTGTGAGTTGTATTTTGGGCAAGTCTCTGGGATGTGGTTGTGTCCCAGGTGTACATGTTTGAATAGAAGGAAGGAAAAGATAAGTGTTGTTACTAATTACTTACATTGGCACGTGTATTAGCAAGGGACTCTGTACTGTGTGCATAAGGAAAGAAGGATGCCTTTATATATTTTTCTTCATTAGCAATCACGTAACCTGATTTCACAAAATGAGCACATTTCTGTGACTCCCCCATTGGACAGCCAGAGCTATAAATTCAGCAGGAAAATCTGTTTTATACATTTTGAAAGTATGAGCATTGGCTCCTATTGCAGAACACTCCCTTTACCTCATAGAGAATTCTGACATCTCAGAAGACTCCACCTATTTAATCTAATGTGGAATAAATGCATATATAACACAATATACATACCTACATTATTATTAATAACGTAATTAATTATGCACTCCTGAGTGCTTATAACAACAGTAACTTATATTTATGCAATATTTTCTGAAGCTGTAGATGTATAGAACACTTACCTGCAGGTAGGTTTACCTGTGTGCCAGGAGTAGCAACATCCAGGCACAGCAGGACAGCCAGTTTGGGGTAAGACACTCAAGGAAACCCTGAGTAACAAGGGTCCTTGAAAGCAGGACCACACACACTGTACTGTCAGCTAAACTCAACCTTCTTGGAGTGTAAATGATCTTTCCCAAGAAGAGGGAAGAGTTAAGCAGCAGCTGCCAGGCCTCAAGGGGGGCTGCAAGGAGACCAAAGCATCTAGACTACACAATGGATTCTTTAGAAGTTATTCTGGCGAATGCAGCGGTGTTCGCCGTCTGGTGCAGTTCCTTTAGGATTAGTCATAGCCTTGAAACCCTGTATTATTCTACGGGAAGCATCCACGGGGCACTCGAGCTCTCCCCAGTCCTGCTCGGCGGTGCAGCTGACAGACAGCGCCCGTCCCACCCAGCCCGCCCGCACCGCAAAAGTGATGAGGCGGCGGATTCGCGCTTTAATGGGAAACACATTTCCTACCAAAGCGCCGAGCTTTGTCTTCTCGAGCCTGACACTCCGTATCAGCCCCGGCTCTGAGCTCTCTCCCCGCGCACACCCCGCTGCAGACAAAGGGGAGCAGCGAGCGGAGCTCTTTGTCCGCGGGGCCTCAGCCCGGCCCGGCCCGGGGGTGCTGCGGGATCCCCCCTCCCAGCGAGCCGGCCTGTCCCGGGGCTCCCCCCGCCGCCGAGCCCCCACAGACCTGTCGCAGCTCGCTGGTGAAGTACAGGAAGGTGACGGCCACGCACACGGACTGCAGCAGCACGGCGGCCACCAGCACGGCCCCGCAGGTCTGCGCGGGGCTGGGGCCGCCTGCCGGCAGCATCCTGGGGCTGGCAGGGCCGGGCTGGGCCGGGCTGGGGGCTCCGGGGCTGCGGGGGCTCAGGGCCGCTGTCCCGCAGCGAATGCAGCCCCGCACTCAACCCGCCCGCCGGGGCATGGAGCGGGCGGGGCGGCGGGAGGGACCGTGAGGGATCCTCCCGGGCCGTGCCCTCCTCCGCTCTGTTCCGCCTCCTCGGCTCCCTCCGTGCCCTCCCTCCTCTCTATTCCAGCCCTGCCCTCCTTGGCTCCGTGCTCTCCCTGCTTTCCCGCCCTGAATTCCCGGGCTGTCCTCCCAGGTGCGAAGGGATCGCCGCGAGGATGGGCGGTCACCGCTCTCAGCGCTGCTGGAGCATCTCCGAGCAAACTCTCTGAGAGTTTGCCACCTGAGAACGGTGGAAGCTGGTTTTTTAAAGGCATTAAGGCTCTGGTTATGTGCGCAGAGAAGCACGGAGTTTCCTGAGTTCAGATGGTGTTATAGAGTCTTGGATTGGTTTGGGTTGGAAGGGACCTTAAAGTTCAGCTCGTCCAACCCCTCACCATGGGCAGGGACACCTTCCACTGTCCCAGGCGGCTCCAAACCCTGTCCAGCCTGGCTTTGGACTTTTCCAGGGATGGAGCATGCACAGCTTCTCTGGGCAACCTGTGCCAGTTTTTCTCCACCTTAAGTGTAAAACTCTTTTCATTGAAAATAACTTCCTTCTTACACCTAATCTGGATCAACGCTCACTCAGTTTAAAACCATTACCCTCTTGTTCTATTGAAGAAAGTCCTGATAAAAAGTCTGTCCTCATATTTTTTATAAGCCCCCCTTCAAGTACTGAAAGGCTGCATTGAGGAATCCCTGGAGTCTTCTTTAGCTCAACAAACCAAATTTTCTCAGCCTTTCTTCACAGGAGAGATGATCCAGCCCTCTGAGCATCATCTGGATTCACTCCAATAGCTCCATGTCCTTCCTGAGCTGCCCTATCCGTGTCCTATCCTCTGCAGCTTCTCCAGTGGGGCTGGAACATCACAGAAAGGTGCTTGACACCAATAACTGGTGCCAGGAGCTCCTTCCCAGTGCTGCCAGTGCTTCTACACCCTGGTCATGGCATGATTATTGCCACAGTACATCAACATCAGGTACATTCTGAGCTTTCTTTACCTAATGGTACTTTGGGGTTCGTTTGGTTGGTTTTCAAACCTCTGAGGCTCCTTCTTGCAAGCTTTTCTCCAAACTGTTGTGCCCAGATAGATGTTTTCCAAAGGCATGTCCATGCTTTAGGATGTGTCCATTAACCTCCCCTATTCTGACACCTTCACCTCACACAGACTGGGTTGTAAGCAAATCCATAATTATCTGCTGACACTTTTAAATCAGCAGATTTACAAAATAAATCTGCTGGCAGTGCAGCCATGGAAAACTGGGATTTCAAATCCAATTGCAGACATTTGAGTCAGTGATTTCTGTGCTGTTGGCTGATGGATGGGATGAAATTTTGGCTCCTGTTCAACACCTGAATGCCAGGATGCAGGTGGGAGATAGTATAATTATAGGGGAAAATTAAAAGATCTCTTAATCTCCCCTGACTATTGAGATCATCTGTAGAGAGTGTAACTGCATTGTATTCAAGCATTTAGAGGAAAATTGTTTTTTCTTCCATCATAATGTAGCAAAATAACCCTCCAATCCTTGTTCAATGTGGCAGCAGACAGTTTATTTGTCTGGCTCTTTGAGACATTCAAACTGTGTGCCAAAGCAGTTCAGATCTGGGTAATTCCAACACACATGTCAGATGGAGAAGATTAACATCCTTCAAAAGTGAGCTCATGGTCCCCTCCTATGACTTCTCAGGAAAGTCATTGTGACACTTTGGACTCCTTCTGCTTTATCAGGGTTCATAAATTCCTACAAATGAAATTTCACCTGAGAGTCATGAGTGAAGAACCAGTTCAAAAGTGGCAAGCTAACTAGAACCAGTTCAAAAGTGGCAAGGTAAGTAGAATCAGTTCAAAAGTGGCAAACTAACTTGGATGATGACCCCTGCCTGCTGAAGGGAGTTTTTGTGCCTATTCATTCTAGTTGTTTAGGGAGGTCCTATCTGATTTGAAGGAGTTTCCTTTCAAAAAGAATAGAAACAAAAGTGAAAGAGAGCCAGGGCACTACAGAGCATTCTTATTCACAATCAGGAGAGCTGGTTTCAATTCTGTATTTTTCCAGCCTCTTCATGGCTTTCTCTTTTTAAGAGAAATATTTTATAGGTTAACATACCAACTGAGGAAAGATTTTTTCAAGACCCATATATTTATTTTGTTGCCCTCTATCAGGCATAGTCTGTGTCCCTCTGACCTATCATTTTAAATCCTCCATGGGTATTTCTGATTTAATACTTATTTAATTAGTGCCAATCTTTCAAGGCAAAATAAATGAAGTATGATTTGAAAAGAGCAATGGGAAGAGCACATTCAAATCCATCTCTTCAAAAAATTATGAGTTCACTATCTTTCTGAAGATTTAAGATCTGAAAATTTCATTATGCAATGTCAAACAGGTTTTTTTCCACACTGACAAAGGACATTCCAAAAGTGAAACTCCAACCATTTCCAGCATTGAATGCACTGGAGAATCTTTGCTACTTACAATGCTCACTTCCAAAATTCATTTTTGCCTCTAATAAGTTTAAATTTATTCTGAAAATAATTTGTTTTAAAGGTTCCAAGAGCTGAAAATGAGTGTTTTGATGAAATTTTGCCACAGTGAAGCTGGGGCATTGACACCAGTGGGAAGGAAGGATGTTATCATGCTTTTCAACAGAAGCAAGTCACATGTGTTTGTGTAGTGCTAGACCAGGGCATCTCCCCAACAAAACCTCTGATACTTCCTGGCTCCTTCATCCTGTTAAAGCTTACCTGGTGAGCCATTTAATTAGAGATAAACCTTAATCTGTTCTGTGGACTTAGGATGTGTCACTTGGCATGTCCAGGAAACGCCTGGCAGGGGACCTGCCACACGTGTCCCCAGCAGTGTGACCAGTGGCAATGTACAATGGCTCTGGAAATGTGTGAAAATGAAGGAAGAGTGACTTGAAAAAGTCCTTCAGTTCTCATTCCTCAGTGACTGCAGGGATGGGGGTGATGAAGATGTTTTCAGAGAGGATGTTTTCCAAGGCAGACAAAGCAGAGTGCGTAGCAGTTCTGGACTTTGGATTTCTCTGCTGAGCAGCAAAGGGGGCTGTGTTTGTCACCACAGCATGTCATTACAGTGCTGTAGCTGCAGAGGGGGAATGAAGCTGTTCCTCCTTTCCCCCAGCAGCCACCTGAATGCTGCTCTTGTTTTGGGCTTTGTTACTTCAGCTATCAGTTCCCGCTGAATGTTTGGCTCTGAGAGCACAGTGGGAAATTCCTGTCTCCTCTCCTTCCTGATGGGAAGGGGAAGTCCCTGCCCACCTCTGCAGCCTCCCAGTTCATCTCTGGGACACTGCAAAACTCAGCTTCAGGTCATGAGCAGCCTCAGCCTGCCAAGCCCCCAGTCAAGCAGGCAGCAGAGGGTTAACCTTGCAGTGTGCTCCTGAGCCCTGCACATGTGCTGGACAGATCACATCTGGCTCCTGTAGTTTGTTCATTCTTTTGTGGTCCCTGTGCCAGATTCCAACCTCATCTTTTACTGTCACTTGTAAACCATCTCAAATGCATGAGTTCATTGTGATTTGTACCGCCATGGGATCAGGATCTATTTATCACTGCAATACCCTTTTGGCCTGTGGTGTTACACAAACAACTGCAGTGGTTTGGCTGGCCCAAAACGCACCTATGAATTAAGTTAGTCAGACCTGACATCTCTCTTTTAATGCCCCAAGCAGTGGATTTGATTAAAAGAACAGGCAATATCTTGCATGGACATGCCACAATCATGTCCAAAAGTGCTGTAGAAACAGTACTCCAGATCTAACTTTGGATCTCTCCATTTGGATAAGAAAATACTTAACTAGAAATAAATACCTTTTGCCTCTTAATATACTGTATATATTTTAAGCTTGTTCTTAACTTTTGTCAGTTATATAGGGGCACTTCCAAAAGTACATTGTCCTTTCAGTGTGCTCATAATGAAATTGCTCTTTGAGAAATTTAGTATCATAAAATCACTGAATGATTTGGGTTGGAAGGGACCATAAACCTCATCCAATTCCAACCCCTGCCATGGACAGGGACACCTTCCACTATCCCAGGCTGCTCCAAGCCCCATCCAACCTGGCCTTGGACACTCCCAGGGATGGGGCAGCCTCAGCTGCTCTGGGCACCCTGTGCCAGGGCCTCCCCACCCTCACAGGGAAGAATTTCTTCCCAATATCCCATCTAATTCTGTCCTCTTTGAGTTTGAAGCCATTCCCCCTTGTCCTAACACTAGTATTTTAGCTCCCAAGCACCAGGATTGTCACAGGGCACATGCCAGGAAATCACCCACGTGTTACTCACCGAATGAACACAGTTGGTTTCACTAAGGTGCCCTGACTCAAGATTCCTTCTCACAGTGGGGACTTTTTAACACAAATGATTTCTGTGTCATTGCTTTAACCATGATATGGAATGCCACAACAGAGAGTTTCTGTTTGACAGAAAGGTCTGACATTTCAACATTTCTGTTTGTCTTAGAGTGAAAGACTTCGGTTAAAGAAAAGTTTCTAAATACGTCATTTTGGAATAATTGAAACAACTGTATAATTGCAATAATATATGTGCTCACTGTAAGGGATACATGGCTCTGCTTTCCTGTATTCCCCAGAGATCTCTGAGGTAGCAGCAACTCCTTTCAGCTGCAGATTCCAAAGCTGGACCTGGCCTTGTGGCTGTTCCCTATTCACACAGCCAGTCGTGTGTGAAGCACTAGAGGATGCTCCCTGGCCAGGGCAGCAAAGGGAATGTTTATGGATGCTCTTAAGTCTTCTTCTGTGTTACACTAACAAAGTAATAATGTTGAAATAGGTTCATTGCATGCTGTCTGAGCTCTGGAGGGAGCTGGGAGAAGAT